ACACGCTTTTATTACTTGAGTTCAGATCCAGCACCACCTTGCTCAGACTAGGAAAAGGTTTCTCCGCTGACTGGTCTTGCTTTCACACCAGTAGGAATGCAATTCACTTCTGGATTTGGAATCTGACTTCCAGTACTTTATACAGGAGGATTTATATGTAAACATTTATTCTGAAGGGACAAGTAAGATAATATCATCAGCAGCATTGGATAAGTGACATTTTCTGCCTAAACAAGTATCTTATTAGAATTTCCAAAGGCTTTTAGAAACAGCAGGAAATGTACTTCTGTTCATCTTACAGTATTTTCAGTAACTATGTTCAAACATACTAGCAATTCCTGAATAAACAGATTTGAGACGAACAATAGATTACTTTTGCCAAACAAAACAGAATTAAAATATGGAGCTCACTGCCAAAAGGGATTGTCAAGGCTGAAAGAATCACGGGAGGAAAAAGTTTAAATGTATGGAGGAAAAAAAAAAAAACAACAACCCTTTATCTTTTCTTTCACACCACAAACTGTTGGTGGCCATCGCTGCTCACAGGATACAAGGCTGAATATATCTTTGGTTATAACCGAATGTACACCATTAACGTGATTTTGTCAATTTTGTTAGTGGATAAATTTCATTTACATTTTTGCATCCTACCCATAAATCACAGAATCACCAAGGTTGGAAAAGACCTTCAAGATCATCCAGTCCAACCATCCACCAATCACCAATAGTACTCACTAAACCACATCCCTCAACACAAAATCCAAACATTCCTTGAACACCACCAGGGTCGGTGACTCCACCACCTCCCTGGGCAGCCCATTCCAGTGCCTGACCACTCTTTCAGAAAAGCAGTATTTCCTAATGTCCAGCCTAAATCTCCCCTGGCGCAGGGGACTACTACTTTTGTCACAAATATGTGATGTGTATTTTACCATAACTTGTGATTAGTTTTGCATTAACATATTTATGATCACTTGCTTTTTAATAAGAACGAGCAATACTGCATCTTCCAAAAGGAAAATGTTCTATGAGATTATTTTTTCCTAAATACTGCAGTATCATCTCAGGCAATATCACATCTTAAAAGACTTGCCTCTTAGCCATGATCAGCCATAAACATGGTTAGAAACCATCTACAGCGATTCAGTTTGCATCACAAATACTATCACAAAACGCTGTTACCAAGCAGCCTCTTTACAACAGGTGAACCAGTATCTTCTTATTCCCTCCTTGCTCCTCAGGCACTAGACAAATCATTACCGTCACAACTTTCCGGCAAAGAAAGGGGCATAAAATAATTCAGTTAAACAGATACAAATAAATTTTATTAAATTAAAAAAAAAAAAAAAAAAAAAAAAAAGCAAAGAAAAAAAAAAAGCTGTTTTCCATTTAAAACTCCCTTGACTTACCTTATAGGTAATTTTGACACCCACCAAAGTTATAAAAAGCTTAAGAGGTCTGTAAGCTTTTTGAGTTTAGTAGATATATGCAGATACATGTAACTGCAGATTGTTAGTATTTTCCTGGAACAATTCACAGAGGTTTATATTGGGTTACATTAAATATTAACTATGGTTATACAAATGCTTAATATGTTAGACTGCTATTAACTTAGAGCAGGAAACTGAGGAGCTGACCAATCCACAGAACAGCTCTCAGAGGCTTATTGCAAATATATTTAGTATCCTTCAGGATCATACCTTTAAGTACAAGCAGTAGACACCAATAACTCAAGTCCTGTCCCTAGACATGTGCAAGTGTGTAAGTGCTCTTCTTATCTGAACAGCTGGTGGTGCATGCCTTGTGAATCCAAGCTTTCAGCCTGTATGCTCCACCACCATCAGGTACTGAGATACAGTCACATCCCGGCAAGTAGGGCACAGAGATGAAACTAATCTTAAAATGTTGTATTTTTGCATGCCTTGTACAATTGCCTTCACTCACACGTACGCACTCCTTAGCATTTTGTCAAGTCACACATTCAAGTATCCTCACCAGAGGATACACAGAATCAAACTCACAGACCTGTGAATACGCACACTTCTCCCTCAGTTGCAAAGGCTGCTCAGATGTAAGAACCCCTATATGGGAGGTTCCCATTCAATTAATATGTGAATAGTTCAGATCCTAATAAAACACTGGGCCAACACGTTATGATAGAAGTACACAGAAATCCCTGAATATTTAAGTGCACAGCAAGATTTAAAAAAAATATCAGTTTAATAGTGAGCAAGTGTCCTGACTTTGTTTGCACACACTCAGTGGCTGAAGTAATAGTTAAATAATGAAGTATTGGCATTTATGTGAATTCTTGAAAACCTGAAAGCCAATACTTACAAACAAGCACAGGGTGCTCCTAGCTGCCAAGGACACAAGTCTGTAATAAAATGCATCGCACCCATTTGGTCCTCAAAAATCTCAGTGGGATGCTACACATTGCTCTGCAATGAATCCCTCATTCAAGCACTTGCAAAATCAGAAGAAACAACTCCTCCATGAAAATAATGATACACCATCACATTTTACGCAGAGCAAATTTGTCACTTAAAGCTGAAGAGTCTCATGGGAGACACTTCAGTCTGCTGACACGGATATAAGACACAGTTTACAGAATGAAGGAGGCCAGCTGACACAGAAAACTTTTCTCCTGCCAAAGTTCTTCACAGCTAGTTGACATGTCACTGCTGTTATCACTTCTCTCTTTAATAACGATAGAAATATACTGAGATGGGGATTTAAAAAAAAGTGAATATGGGTACAAGCTGCAAAGTTCTCAATTCTATTTTCAGATACCCTGAATGCATACAACTGCCAATAAAAAAGTCAACTTTTACATTAAGTACTTAATTAAGAGTGGACAACCAGCAGGCACATGCAGGGTAGCTGCAAGACATGTGACAATAACAGAATAATACATTGCAGTGAAGTTTTTTGGGTGTGCATCCCACAGAAAGCTACAAGCAGCCTTCTGGTTAAAGAGCTATTTTTCTCTTTCTATTGTGTTCAGAAGTCAAATGAAGAAAAATCTCCTGAGATCAATCAAATTGCAATATAAATATAATAAAACCCCTACTGACTCTTATCCCACTTGAACACTATGCAATTTTTTAAAAAAATGTTTAATCTCAATACTGAAGTCTAGAAACTGAAGGTTCTGTATAACTAGCTTATACTTCTTCATACACAGTGTAAATTTTTCCTATGCCATTCAAGTAATAACTGTGTTAAAACAACGCTATTAAGTTGGCATGGTTAGGCACTCAAGATTTAAAAAGTCATAGGCAGAACACAGAACTGTCCTCTCTGAGTGTATGCGTAGGGTTGGAGTCTTTAACTACATGGACTAATTTTATCTAAGCATTTCCTGCCCTCTTCTGCTCAGAAGGTCAGGGACAAACATGAAAAGGAGGACCCTGGTTCAAGACCAGGACAATTTGAAGGTCATTCTCAGCACCAACTAAGTTGTCATCTTTCATGCAGCACTGACTATGATGGAATTCTCTTGCACATTTCCAATCAGACAGACTCAATGCCTGTTGAGCTACCCGGGCTACCCTTAAAAAACAAACAAATAACCAACCAAAACTGAAAACAAAGATTTACATACAATCCTTCCCTTACAAAAAAGCACAGAAAAAGTAGAAATATAACTTTCCTCTGTTTCGTTTGGAAGGAAAGAGCTTAATCTTTCTCCATAGGTGCAAAGATCTCTAATTACAACTCTGTTTGACCCCCCCAAAAAAAGCTACCTGGGGAAAGAAAGAGATGATGCACTGCCATAAAGGAAATTAGTGATAGAGAAAAATACAGGACATTCCATCTACGTTTTTAAACCCCTGAAGACAGTCATTTTAAGTTACAAGACTTGAATGAAGTCTTGCAGCACTCTGTTACTCAAACCATAGTCAGGTACCTGCTTTATAATATTTCATCAAAAATACATCAAAGGCAGTGGATAATATATATATTTTAAAATAGAAAATACATATAGTAGACTATTTTAGCACTGTAGAAAGCATGAGTTCTACCTACACTACATTTTAATCCATATGGTATACGATTAACTTGCTGGGTAGCATCTTGCTTGACTGAATAGCATGAAGTTAGAAAAAGATGCTCAGGAAAATCATGTGGTCCTAAAGTAAACAAAACCAAAATTCCTACCTGCTCCAGTCAGCCTGCCAGACAGGCTTTTTTCAGTTCTCAGCCTATTAAATAACATGAAAAAGTGAAAAACCTCTGACAGAGAGAAAAGATTTGAAATTCCTTTCACTCATAGACCAGCTGGACTGGCTTTCTTCCACAGGCCAGCATCAGGAGATTCTGCATTGTACAGACCACCCAATTTAGTTCAGATTCAGCTGGACAGGCCAGGTGACATTTCCTCCAATGGCTCTGATGGCTAAGTAGTGTTTTCCTGTGGGGAAAAACAAAACAAAACAAAACAAAAAAACAGAACTGCTTTTGAGCTGCTGGTGGTTGATCCCTAGGGAGAGGGGCTTCCCAGCTGCTAAAGCCAGCTGATGAGAGACAGAGAGCTAAAGAACTTTCATACTGAGACCAAACCTAAGATTGACTCCACCTCACAACTCAAATCAGCAGAAGTGGCAAATGAGGCATGAGGAAACCTTAAAGAGACTAAAAGATAAAGTGCAACTTTCCTTGTACCCAAAAGCTGTGTGTACAGTTTCACTGTAACTTAAACATTTATTTGATGTATTGGCTATCCAGCTGCATAGGATGTTTCAAGATCTATTGTCTCAGACAAGGGTGCTAATCTAAGGTAAAAGATGCTGTGCAAATGCTGCCATTAGAAATAAACATAGTTCCTAAGGAAAATCCACTTGTGAAAAATTTTGTTTTTGAAATAATTTCTAGTCATTTCACAAAAAGAAATCAACATTGAAAGCATATTAGAAGAAACTTCAATTCGGATGCTCTAAGACTTACTAGAAAATTACATTTAAAATAAATAAATAAATAAATAAACACCAGATTAATTTAATGGGAAAAAGTGCTATTTTTTTTTCCTGCTATGCAATATGTCTGGAAAGCATAATGAATTCCCAGGCTTTGAATTTACACAATAATTTTAAATAGCTACACTTGATTCTCATCTGACAAACAGAGATTAAAAAAAGCAAAATTCATTAGCGTAACAGAAGCCTAATCTGATGCATTCCCAACAAGCATGAACATTTTATACTAGATTAGATGCAAATTTCACCAAGAATGAAGAAGTGATGAATAATTTGCTTCATTCGTTATGAAACAAAGACTTTTAACCTCAGACTCATAATTTGATCTCATCCTTGGTTTTTGTGGTGGTTCCCCCTGAAGGTGTATCCTCATCAAGGTTATCTTGTAGATCTGACAACACATTATTTGAACAATTCTCAGGGTCACATAAAGATTTGTCTGGGTGATTTCCGCAGTCATTGTTCATATTTTCATCATCCTTTTTGGAATAAGAAGTGTCCTCTTTTTTGTCCGAAGGATCGTGAATTGCTTCTGATTTTGAAAGCTGGCCACTGTCAGCACCGCTGTTCTTTTCACTGCTCTGCTTAACAGCATCACAGTTCATTTCTTGTTCATCCTGATCATTTTCTTCTCCATTTTTTGTGAGTTCTACTTTTCTCTCTTCAGTTGCTTTACTAGCTGAGGTTCCACTTGTGGATGTACTCTTAGGCTCTTTCAGTTTCTTATGCTTAGAAATATAACTACTGTGCACAGAAATTGGAGATGCTGGCTTTTTATTTGTTTTGCCTCCCTCTGACTTCTGTTTTCTTGGGGGTCCCCAGATAAAATGCTCTGATGGTGTATAATGCTGCTGCGCAAATCTCAGGAGCTTTCTCCTTTCTCTTCTGTCTCTAATAGTATACACAAAATACTCTAGAGCACTTTGCTTAATATTGGGAATGGTATCTTCCACAAGAGCTTCATGGAGAATAAATTTTACCAGGGGAGATTTGAAACTCTCATATCCAAGTTCACCAAGACTTTTCAGAATTCGAGTGATTCTCAAGTAGTTGTGTTGAGACCTTTGGAAGAAAAGGTTAAAAAAAAATCCATTGAATCAGAAAAGAAAAGCCTTACAGAAACAGAACTGGAAATACATTTTCTCATTCAATTTTAATCACTCAAGATATATACTTCAAACTTTCTGAAGTTTTATTTCTCACAGTTGATGAAGCCTGCCAGGTTTCATCCATTCATCATCTTTGCAAGGATGCTGGGACTGAAAATTAATGTCTGCAAAAGGTACTGAGGCAGTAGATGAAATAAATTTATCTTCTGAAATCTGTTCTGAAGTGTGAAGCTCCTCATAAACACATATAAGTAAACAGTCTAACTTAAACACCTAAAATTTACACAGCAGAAGTTAGGTTAGAAGAATCACAACTCCTGATTTAAAGTAGTATAGCTGCTCACAAGTATTATGAGTAGCTACATGGTAGTGTGTACACAAGTAGACACTCATATAATTACTTTATATTATAACAACATAGTAATTACAATCTATGAATGCGCAGTGAGTGACACTTGGGTCTCCTGAAACCTCATTTTATCTGTGGCCTGACTGAGCATGTCCCTGTTAGTTGGCTCATAAAATTTGAGTGAAATTAGTAACAAATTATCCCCATTATTCAGATTTAGCCACCAGCAAGCCTACCTTAAGAAACAAGTTTTCATTTAAACAGGAGAATAAAATACTGCAAGAAAGCTGCTGGTACCTCTGGCCTTAGAGCTAAAAATAAAGCAATCGCAAGATGTGAAAAGAAATTTTAAATACATTGCACTGGACAAAATTCAGTGCAAACTTACTCTCCCTGTAATCATAAAGTAAGGTGACAAATGGTCTGCTGCTGAAAGCTGAAGGTAAAGTTTGACTCAATACAAGTCTAAGCACTGTAGTTAATATATATCGAATTCAAAATAGAATATGTTTTGAGGAGGGAGGAATATCTTTGTAAGTCAGCTTCCATACAGGTGTTGAGAATTTGATTTTCCTCAAGAAAAAATGTCAGTACAAAGACAAGCAACCCATTCCCTATAACCGAGAAGCTGAGCCTTATGATCAAGTGAGAGCATTCTGCAGCAAGACAGACAAATTACTTTGGTACTGTGATCCTCAACAACATCTCAAGCTGTGTACAGAACACAAGGATGTCAGCTCCTTAACAGGCAAGAAGCACAACCAAAAGAGAGGTCTTCGGGACCTTCCAGGTCTCTGGGAAGACCCGAGAGTTGCCTTTCAAAACCTAAAGGGGGCTATAAGAAAGAAGGACAGACTCTTCAGTAACAGCACAAGGAGAAATGGTTTCGAGCTAAAAGAGGGGAGATTTAGACTGGATAGGAGGAAAAAGTTGTTTGATTTTTTTTTTTTTTTTTTTTGTAATAATAAGCAGAGTGAGGCACTGGAACAGGTTGCCCAGAGAAGCTATGGATGCCCCATCCCTGGAGAGATTCAAGGTCAAGCTGAAAGAGTCTCTGGGCAACCTGACCTAGCTGTGGATGTCCTGGTTCACTGCAGGGGAGTTGGACTGGATGACCTTTAAGGTTCTCTTCCAACTCAAATGATTTCATGATATAATTTTATGATTCAGAGAAAGGGGAAGGAAGAACGTACAACAGATACAAACTAGACATTGAGTATTTCTTTTTATCTTTTTTACTGGCAACTTTCAGAAAAATGTATCTTCCCTTTCTGCAGGAAACAATAGACTAAAGAGATTCTACAGCAATTCTGGAGTCGAGTGCATGTCATTACTTACTCATTCAAATGCTGAAATCTTTCTTGCCAGTTAGCAGCTCGTGCTACGTTTCCAGTTTTATCAATTAATTTTATTCCAAAAAATTCCAGCATCATTTTGTAAGCCAAAAGGAATCTTCTAATTGCTTCCTTTGTTTTCTTGAACTCCTAATAAAGAAAACATCCAAAATTCAAAGTGACATTAAAGCAAGTGCTTCTGCATTGTATAAAAACAACTCTGCATAACAAGAAGTAGTTATGTATCAATATCAGTGTGACGGTTTAAGCTCAACTTGTATTACCTCAATTTCATATGTAGTTAATTCTTTCGCATAGAAGTTCAGACCTTGTTCCCTCAGAGGGAAAAGCCTGTTAAAAGAAACAGTGAATTACAGCTAACAGTACATAAACACTTAACCCAGTCAATCCTTGGAAATAGCAATAGGTAGTAAGTGACCAACCACTGTATGTATGTGTGGTTATGTTCCAGTTTTTCATAATCTCCTTTCCATTTGTTTAGGACTTCTTCAATATAAACTCCTGCACAAAAATAATTAGAAAAAATTGTTAGGCAGCCACCAAAACTAGCTTTCAGCTACATAAAGATAGTACATCATTTATGCCATTTACATGGCAAGTACCTCATACTGACAGAATACATGCTTTAATTTTCTTTCACATACTGTGTAAAATAAGGTCTATTAAAAAAAAAAATTATTTAGTTGCTGAAACTTAATGAAAAATAAGAGTTTCATCAATTTTTAATTGAAAAATAAATAAATCAATTGACTTAAAACACTTAAGGGTACATGACAATAACTTAAAGAAATACAATTTTCAAAATATTCTCATTTTCTAGTTTTCTTTGTCACACTGACTGGTAATTGACAAACCACTTAAGTATATTATTGAAACATGAGTCAACTGCCATCGCTTGAACACAGGAAAGCTCTGCATATTTATTATCTTTCTGGAATAGGCCTCAACACTTCCATAAATCTTTCATTCTAGGAATCTCTCCTGCTGCAAGTAATGTTAAGATTTGAAAATCTTTGGCAATTTTCTGTGGCCAAAAGTATCGATGCCATTGCTGTAAGTCGGAACTTGGAAGCTCAGGTCAAGCTCATCAAATGGAAAGTTCAGCTTTTAGTAGCATGAAAACAGTTGTGGCATTTAATCAGCTCTTCTTGCAATGCCAGAGTGACAGAAAAAGGAGACAAAGTATACCTAAAAAAAATTAATCATTTTTCACATCAAGATCACGGACATGAAATTCAGTTACAGACCAGGGTATCTTTTCACTGTACACATGCACATAAGGACATTACTTGTTCCAAAATCTATCTCTCTTCCCACGAACAGCCAGTATTAGCATATTTTTAGTTTGAAACCAGCAGTTCAACTATGGCAGCATGGCCTCTCCCAAATTCAAATAGCACAGGAGTGACCTAAAAAGCGCAAAGCCCCATTTGAATGGTCTCCTATTACACATGGGATACCTCTGCCTAGTGAAATTTTCTGTGTCAGTCCCAATAACAAGTGAAAACTCCCTTTGTACTTAAAAAAGTAGCCAAAGAGATAAGAACACCAAGTTTACAGTGCAGGCAAGGCTGGAAGGCTGGGAAAGGATCTGACTAAGAGGCTCTCCTGCCCTCCTCACACCCCACAGAACTTGTGAAGTAATCATGTTTCAAGTATCAGAAAGTTTCCCACTGAATTCCAAGGTTTAGAGACTGTAACTCAAGATTCAGTAAATTGTGGAATTAAACTTCAGACCTAGGAGTGCTCTACAAACATCCTTTCTTTCCCTCAGTAACATTCCCTACTACTTTAGCCCAAAATGCAGTAGCTTCAACTCCCTCTAAATACTCTCACGGACCAGGGCAAGGTTAAGGTGGTAACAATTCTTTCCCATCCTCAAAAATACCTTCACAGTCAGAGCTCTGTCATCATGACCTCAGCTTTCACGGCCTATCAGCTAACCCTTGACACCACCACTCATGATTTTCTCCTGAAAAAGAAAATTATAAAACTTGCCAAAACTAACATTTGTCTTAGGAGGCAAGGCTTCCTATAGCTTGACCTGGTTAATCCTCTAGAACACCTCCTTCCTTTTCCAGCCTTTAAAGGATCACCCAAAACCTTTTCTCTTTCGGGCTCACATGGTCCTCTGAACCTTTCCCTTTCTTTCTTGATTTACTCTCTGCAAGTGAACTTGCAGGTAACTCACAGATCTAAGTTTTCATCTAGCCAAGCTGAAAATGCAGTCTTCAGCATTAGCCTGTGTATATCTAGATCTAAAATTCACGATTATTATCTTTTTTTAGCATAACCTGACTTATCTTCTCACTCACTGAGGTTATTATAACTCAGTTTTCTGCCTATCAACAGCTGTAATTTTCAACCTTCCTGGATATACTGACATCTTTACATCCTTCTTGATAACGTTCCAGCTTTCCATCAGAATTTAGGTATTTCATCTCAACACTGTTTTTCTTGACCTTGAAAAGCACACTGTTGCCAACTGTACATCTACTCTGAATGCTGCTGAAAACACATTTCTAGACAACAGCAGCTTTTTTTTTTTTTTTAACTTTATATTTCACTTTCAGTCTTTTCTGATCTGTCCAATCCTATGCTGTCACAACCTGTTTGCTGCTAAGAGATTGATTCCTATCTCTGACCAGCCCTCAACAGCAGCCTCCACTTCTCACTCCTTACGCATTCAAATACACGCTTTTGTATTTCAGCTCCTCTCAGGCTGAGAAAAATCTCTCTGCATACACCTTCAAAGTAACCTTCTCATACTTTCAGAACTCTGCTGCTTGAAGTTTTCTTTTCTTTTTTTTTTTTTTTGTCAATGGCTGAGCTCTCATGTGCCAAGACTCCTGCCTATCGTTCTAACCAACACTGTTTTATTGTCTCCTTCTGCTTCCCCCATCTGTCTGCAGCCAAAGTATGAGAGACAAAAGGATGGCAAACTCTCTAGAGCAAGGGTTTGTGATTTTCCAGCTTGTTTTGTGTTTGCACAGTACCTTGCTTGTGAGAGCCCTGCTTCATTACCAGAACCACCAGGGACTCTGATTATTATACTACTGATAACAAAACAATTTCTCACACATGAGGAAGTGACAACATATTCATTTTCCCTCGCATGGTGCTAGGAATAACAGCCTAAGCCCTGTCACTCCTTTTCAAGCAGCAAGTTTGTTAAGCATGGTGGAACAGCGTTATCTTTGTTTAACAAGAGGCAGTGCCACTAGAGTAAATGTGTTGTGCTAACAACATCTCATCGCACTTTTCAGCACAAGAAAAGCATGACCTGTCTAGAGGAGAAGCAAACTTTGGCTTAAGCATTATCAGCCTGTTATCAACATGGTAGTCCAATACAGGAAGTTCAAATCATACAACATATAGCCGCACACTTCAAATTTATCAGATAATAACAGTTTTGCTCTGTTATTGTTATGGGTGAACATTCTACTGTTATCATTATTAGTGTCACAGATTACTCACCGTCAGGTTTAAAAGGGATTTTATTTTTGTAAAAGCGGAGATTGCACAAGTCATTTTGGTATCGAAGATCTTTAAAGTTCTGCTGAAAGAAAGAAAATAGGACGTTATCAGCCTACAAAACATAACCCGCTACTGAGAACACCCACAAAGTGACATTCTGCTCTTTGAATAATGTGAGGACAATAAAGGCTTAGCATTTCAGGTAAGCAGTTTAGAGATCTGCCAGTTCCTTCTGACCACCTCCTTCTCCTACTGAGAAGAAACAGCAAGCATAGCAGCACCTGGCCTTCTGGCTCAAGGAACTTCCAAAGGACCAATAACACATTATCCGGACTCTGTGTACCCTCTTCAGTTTTCAATGCATACATCTCTTTCTGGGATTCTGTCACTATTCCCAGGCTTACACACCTCATGTGTTTGCACATACATCTAGGATGAAAAGATGCTGCCCTTGTTTCATCCCCCTCTCACCGGCACACACTGGGCCTTTCCAGCAGCTTTATAACTATTCTTATTTGTCATATATTCTTATTTATTCATAATAAATATATGATATTTATTAAGCATCATTACATTCAGGATTTCCCAGGTCATGTGCTGCTCTCTACTAAAAAGAGAATTTTAAACTGTAAAATATTCTTACTGGATACTGATGTCGGTACTTGTATAAATCCCTTGCTGCATAGAAGCTTCTCTTTGGCTTGGCTGTCAGCTCTGTTCCATCACCGCTCTGAAACATTTAAAAAGTAAATAACAATGGTACACAAACACACCAAGTACTGAACCTGAGTAATATTAAAGTAATTATTTTTCACAATATTTCAGCAATGTAAACATACACAAGTATACATATTTGCCTACAGTCTGGTCAAACACCAAACATCTTTCTGCTGAATACATACACATACTTACTCCCAAATTTAAAAGGTAAGACTTTGAAGCAACCAAGATGGTGCTAATAGAAGATTAAATAAGTAACTGAATGTGAAAATGCTAATTTTGATCAGGAAGCCACATTATTCGCAAATAATATTTGTCATGTGTATCTTGACTTAATTGCTTTCCCTGCATTCTGCGGAAGAAAACAGTGACAGACAAACAATCTGTAGTACAAGTGCCTTCATGAACTGTTCTGTATTATTCTTTCCTCAGAACTTAAGTTACAATCCTAGTGAGAAATACTACTAAATTCCCAAAGGAAAACCTGCAAAGAGAAAATGCACTTGTACAAGGCCTTGTCCTGAGCAGCAGCTGTTTGCTACAACCTGAGACAAACAGAGCACACCAAAGTCAATGGAAGTCATTCCATTGACTGGTGAGAACACTCGAAAAACCAGCATGTATTGAAGAAAAAGAAGTACTGCTCTACAGAGCAATTCAACGTGCTGCCAACCACTTTATTTTCTACATTATTTCTTTGTAACTATACCGTAACAAAGTGATTTGGATTGTTTAATTCGCTAAACTAAGTTTCTACGCTAAGACTAAAGGCCAAATAAGAGTGAAAAAAATACAGTAATTCCACACCTTGCCACCGGCAAACAACAGATTAAAGTCACAACTAAAAAGGGAAACTTCTGCGATCACGATTTATTATCGTACACTCACTGCTTATCAGTATTACATTACTGACAGGCATTTGTTTCCACGCAGCCCAACTCTGACTGCAGGCAAAACGCGCTTACCTGAGCAAGCGACAGCCCGACACAGGCATCAGCAAGCCACCAGCACCGCGTATCAAGTAGAAATGAAAACAATAAACGCTTATACTCGTTTAATTTTGCACAGCGGCAGTTCGTAAGCCAAAAATCCAGACCCAGTCGGTGCACCTTGCGTTCGGGGCAAACTCCGGCGACACTAACGGCCAAGCAGCGGCTGCGGAGGAACCTCCGCTCGGAGCCGGCGGATGCCACGCCTCCCCGCCACGCCTGCCCCAACGTCCCGGCTCTTCATCCATTCAATGCCGAGGCCAAGTTCCAGACTAAACGCAACGCGACACGGAACCTCCGCTGGAAGCAGGAGCAGCGCTCTCGAGGCCTCATTTCTCTCAGCACGGCCGTTCCGGTGCCGGCGCGGTACAACCCGCCTCCCGGCCCCGCACGGAGCTCCCGCAGCCGCGAGCGGCCGGGCCCGACGGATGGAGGCGGGCCGACGGAGGCCTCTTCCCCGCCCGAGCACCCGCGCCGTTCCTTCCGATGGAGATGCGGAGTTCCGCACCCCGACACGACGCCTCCGGGTGTCGGAAGCGGCCCGCCCTCCCTCGGGTCCCCCCGCCAGCGGTTCCGCAGATCGGGGCGGCGCACCGCCTCGCTCCCTCCCTCCTCCCGCCCCGCCGCAGCGCGGTGCCGGACCCGGGCTCGTCCCGGCGCGGGCGGTACCTGCTCGGGGCCGCCGGCGTCCCCCTCGGCTCGCTCCCCTTGTTCCGGCGGCCGCGGAGGCTCCTCGGGCCGGTCGTCAGCGGCGGGCGGCTCTTCCCCGCCTCCCGCGGCGGTGCACACCCCCTCCTGCTGCTGCTGCTGGCGCCGAGGCTCCCCGCCGGGCTCCGGCGCCTCGGGCTCCGAGTCGGTCTCCCAGGTGGAGTCGCAGTCCTCCACCGTGGTGGGCTCCTTGAAGCTGACGCCGCTCAGCAGGCCGCCCATCGGGCAGCGCCGGGCCGCCGCCGCGCCTCCCGGAGGCCGCGGAGGCCGAGGGCTAGGAGCGGCCGCCGGCTGCCTACGGCTGCGGCATGGCGGGGCGGGGCCGGGGCCGCTGGGGCCGCTCCCCCGCCCGGCCCCAGCCCACAGACGGGCGCGGGGCGGAGCTGCGGGTCCGGGGCTTCCGCGGGAAGCGCCCGGGCGGCGGGGAGGAGAGCGGGGCTCGGCCCGGCCGCGGGGCGCGGGGCGGTGCTGCGGTGCTGAAGCGGCGTCGGAAGCGCCGTGGGAATCGGCGCCGTTGTGAAGTTCTCCTTTCCGAGGAGAGCTCGGCGCCCACCTGGACCGAGCCGGGAGGAGCGAGCTGAGCCGGGTGCGTGTCGAGAAGATGGCAGCTCCTTCTGCGGAGCCGCTCGTGTTGTGAGCGGCAGCGTGCGGACACGGGTCGCACAGCGCACGGGTTGCGTTCCTGTGAGGAGGGCTCGGGGTGCGGGAGGCAGGGCTGAGGGACTGCGGCGTGCTGCCCGGGCGGCTTCAGCTCTTCCTGAAGTCCCTCGGGCTTTGGGGTTAAAACTGATACGGCAGGGCGGGTTTGGCTGGGTAAGGCAGAGAGCTTTGTACTTGGCTAGAGCGTGCGTTTGGGACAGAAGCATTGCCTGGAGAGAAGAGCTGGTGAGATGGAGGCTTATCCTGTTGCAGTGGCTGTGCTCAACTCGGGATTAAACATGGGCTCTTTGCTTCTAACCAGAATTGTCAGGCCGACCATCTCTGCCTTCTTCCTTGCAGGCTGCTTGTTGGTATCCATTGTATGGAGCACTGGTTAGTGCTGACCAGCTCAGCTTGCCCTCCTGTTACATCTTTTATCTATGCATCCCACATTGACTGTGTTTACATTAGGGACAGCAGAACTTCACCTTGCACATGAATCCAAAAACAGGTGAAGATTTTGTTAATCTTTAGCTTGTATGGCAATTGACTTCACACACAAATCTTCCTGTAAGAAAGCTCTCTCTTGTACAAATAATTGCACCTTATTATAGAAAGCTCAGTTATACCCGAAGAGCAAACTCCTGTCAGCTTTGCTTTGTCAACTCATCACAGAGTTTTAGGAGGCCTTTTTAATGATCTGGAACTCAGGCCACTGATAAGAACTGGGAGTCAAATTAATTGACTTGGTGTCATCATTGGGCAGTGCCAAAAGCAGAGGATTGCTTTGCTTTGCTTTTGGTAATCCAAGTAATTGAAGTGATGTGATGGAGTTTCTTGAACTACTGGGAAGTATTTTTGGAGTTTCTTAAGAGTTGATAGCTGAGCAGACCATATTGCTTGCAATCCATGTGAGAGATGATATAAGTGAGGCTGGCTGAAGTTTGGGTCACCAGGGTAGTATGTGTTTTGTTAGCCAACCAGATATGTTGTAAGGTATTAGTCGTTGCCTTGAAGGAAAACAGGATAAAAGAACTCTTAAATTAGAAACTGAATTGGTGATTGTTGGTATGGCACTCCAAAAAACAAAAACAAAAACAAAACAAACACCCAACCCCTTCAAATACTCATCTAAATTTTTTATGTTTTAGCTGTAGTCAACTCTCATGCAATCAGTTTTCATCCTTTAGCTTACCATTGGACTAGTGGCTAGTTTCTGAGCGAGTCTGATGAAGAGAAAGAGGATTGAACAGCTCTTATGTAGATTAACAGTGGTCCAGAAAGAACCACTAGTTGTGAAGAGATGGGGGACCTGGTTTGGGACCTGTCTGCATTGTTGTGCAGCTGAATGAGGAAAAAAAGGTCTCCTTCCCTGAATGAGTCATTTCCTATTTTTGTCATCAGTTACTTGCAACTGTACCTCAGCTGCCCAGAGGGATGTAGTTTGGAGTCTTTGAGATGACAATAAGCTCTGGATGTGGCGGGGCAGATCTGTACTTTGCCAGGCTGTTACGTTTTTCCCATGAACAATGTCTTCTTTCACAGATGCAATTTATTGCTGGTTCCAGTTCTGAATAAGAGGTTGCCAGAATTCATGAAGACTTTTCAGCACCTTACTTGGCTTCATAGGATGGTAGTTGAGAGTTTAATCAGATCTCTGCAAAACAATCCTTAATAATAAAAAAAATAATTTTCAGTCATCTCATAGTTGTAATTGGTGGTTAGAAAGTGGTGAACTTCTGGCACTTCAGTTTATCCAGTTATTCCAGTTGTATGGGAACTGCTGAGTCACGGCCTGAACCTCTGATTGATCACCTGAGGTGAGCCATGAGTCAGCCAGAGGAGCACAACTGAAGGCAATTCACCTGTGCTGCTGGAAGGGGTGGAGCCAGGCTGCACCCCTCCTAGACCTATTTAAGAGCTGGCTACCAGAGGGGAAGGATCTCTTCTAGAGATCCCCTCTTTTGGTATTTTCTGGTGAGCTCAACCCAAGGGTAAGCTCTTCCACTTATTCTCTTTTTGTGATCGTTGTCTGCTTTGCCTTACTCTTTTGATTATATTGTGATTATAACATCTTGGTTATACATCCAGTACAAGAGATTACTAAGTGCTAAAGCCAGGAAGATCTATTTCAGTCAAATACTCTGACTTCTACGTAACACAGGTCAGAGAAGTTTTTATCTCAGCCATCTTCAAAGAAAGACAGAAGATCTTAAGAACTGCGGGCTGCAATTACTGACTTTTTAAACATCATGTGAGAATGCAGCCAGTTTCTTGAGAGGAATTAATCCATCTGTAGGATGCAGCAAGGCCTAAATAAGCTGCTCAGCACCTACCTCTAATTTATTTTAGGGTCCTCCACAACCCCCATAACGGACTGAAGCCAGCTGCCTGGGCCAGCACTCAGCTTCCCTACAGCAGGGCTCCTGAACTGCAGTAGGAAAGCCATTATATTTGGCTGTAGATCCTAGAAAAAAACTCTCTGAAAGAAACCCAGGAGAGTGCTTTGCATGGCCAGATGTGGGCATCCAGGTGGCCTTGGAGATTGCCTGCTGTATCCAACTGCTGCTGTAGAAAGGGCTCCAGAGCTCCACAGGTCACATGGTGTACTTGTGAGCTCCATGCAGATGTCTTGGCTGCTCTAGAACACCTCAAATACGTGATAGGCCTACCTATGAACTGTGCCTGTATATGCCTGGCTGGTTGGCTGAATCACTTTGAGCTGCATTGACTGCGTTTCATTGATTCTAGTAAGTCAAGAAAGTTGCCTTTTCTGTGGTCATTAAATAAATAGCCATTCTTGTGCTCCATGAATAATAGATAACTATAGAACAGTAGAAGGAGGTGATGATGTCATACATTGCTGATACATCACTACAGCGTGTGTTATTTCATCACCTACATCTCGTTCCCCACCCATCACGAGGAGGCAATAATAAATTCCACTCTGCTTGTAGTTAAAGGGCTTGACTTTTAGTCCACTTAAAGCAGGGACATCTGCTTCAAGCAGATCTGCTTCAAGCTACAGTTCAGCAGTAGCAACATGCAGACATGCCACTGAAAATGAAGCAGCACCTTTGTTAGTCTAGATTAGGATCTCACTGTGCCCTGTAAAGGATATGGTCAGCAAATCTTTTGTCTGTTTTCAAGACAGCCAACTCTGACCTTCTTAACTGAGTTTTTGTATGTGACTGAGTGAATTTCTGCAGTCAGGATGGTGCAGTGCACCTATTTCAAAAATCTAATTGACGTCAAGCTTGACATGACTCATGGAGCTCATTGAATTCCTACAAATTAAAAAATGTCAATGTTAAATGGTAGGCATTTGTGCAGTTCTGTACTTTGCTCTCAGAAGGACAGTTGTGGATCTCAGGTGGTTCACAATGGACAGTTTGGAGATGGCTGCCATCATTACCTCTGACAGACTCCACAGCAATCGGTCCCTCCTGGAGGTGGCTCAAAGTCATTCAATGTGAGTGGGACAACTAACTGCAGGCAGTGACTGCCACCACCTGCTTTCCATCCAGCCTTTATCATGCTTTGTATATCACCTGTACAAACCTGCATAAATAAAAAAAGCTGGTGGAATCAATCAGAAATGCAGTTTTTATTGGTTGCTGATCCTTCACAGATTAAGGCAGATATACAGAGAGTGAGATATAACAGCAAACAAGCAAAGCCAGAAACCATCAACAATACTGTCTTTCATTTTCTTATCATGGGCCCAGTGATTTTTACAGCTGTGTGGGCTAATTCACATAGTTAAACTATTGTGCATAGCACTGAAACACCAGCTCAATACTTTGCTGTATAGGGCATGGCTTTTTTCTGTGTTGGCCCTTCCTGGCATTCTTGGATGTCTCCTTCTCCCTATCCCTGCCAATTGTTTATTCTCAGTGGGAAGGCTGGAGGGAGCAGACTGCACAGCTAAAGAGTTCAATGGCTTTGGAGTGACAAGCAATAAATGGCCCACACCTTGTGGCATGAAACCATTTAAGATGGAGCTGAAGCATGCAACACTTTGCAAACATGACCTTCAGAGAAAACTCTGTAGGCAGTTGGTATATGCAGATACACAGTTTATGGAATGAAAGATTTTTTTTTATCTTATAGCTCCTATTATATTCCTTATCACAGGCTTCCTTAGATCAGCACAGGACAGCCTTATCACCATGGTATTGTGCACTTCTAGTCTGAAGAAAGCACTTTAGTAGAGCCTGTAAAGGCCTCTAGCCCTTTATCTGCTCAGTGCCACCCATGCATTAAGTGTTCTTGTCACCTGAATGGAGCATGAGAGGTGGCAAGTTGAAGAGCTGTAATACTACTGCAGGTGACACTGAAGAGTGAGCAAAGTATAGAAAACTCTTCTGATATGGACCAGCTGAGTTATGCCTTAACAAGTAATCCTAAGAAATATTCACTCAAGGAGTCTGGTGCAGTAACTTATATCATCTGAATAGAGTAAGTGTGTGCAATATTTCAAAATTAGCTTGCTTAGTTTTGTAACACCCCATAGTACAGCTTGAACCCACCTTGCAGCCTCTGTACAGTACAGGCAGCCTCTGGTGTGCTTGGAAGAGACA